GAGAGAGGTATCGGTTCTTCCTTCATGACCCGCAAAGAGGTCAATCAGGGATGCAAGAAGAAAAAAATTGCATAAAGCCTCACCCCCGAAGAATGAGACCGCGGGAGGAGACGTCGTAGGAACCTCCTCCTCACTATGCTGTGAATGAGAACGACTCCTACGGGGTCGAGATCGACGCGGAGACATTGCAAATCTGCAACGAAAAGCAGCAAGTCAGGTACAATCTAAAACATGAATATACGAAATTTAAAAGGGAAATTAAGAACTTTAATTAAAATCCTATACACAAATAGGATTTCATAATTGAAGTCTAATTAAACCTACAAATTTCGTGCACGATGATTGTCATCTTTCACGGTGAATTTTGGTGAAATACCCAAAATACCCTTTGTGTTCAATGCCAAAATCTAGGTCAAGGACACGCGTGACCCGGGTCATGATCGTCACATTCAATCATATAACACCCCGGTACCCCACAATTTTGGTTAAAGTTTGCAAATGATCCCTTTTGCAGAATTTAGCCAATTTTGCATAAAAGCCCCTCTACAAAATCTTGGTTTGGGCTCCACATGCCTTATCAAAATTTTGATCATGAGTTCGTGGTCAAAACTCATTGGATTTCAGCCATAAGTTCACTGCCTTTTGCAAATAAGCCCCTCTAAGACATTTATGGGCTGCTTTGCAAATAAACCCCCAAAGATTCGGCCATATGGCCTCTTTTGCATAAACCCCCCAAGGCATTGTGCATACACAACCCCTTTGCCAACTACAAGCCTAAAGATGCAATCTTTACAAGAAAATAAGAGGATTGTGAAGGGAAGCTTACCAAATCAAAGAAGTTTCTTTTGAGCTTGAAGGGAGAGGAACCCTAGCTTTGAGAGAGTAGAAATCTCGGCCAATAGGGTACCCACAAAACCCGACCTTTGCTTGGGGTTTGATGAGTGTTTGAAGGAGAGTTCTTGGGGAGGAAGAACACCAAAACCGAAAATAGAGGGGGAGGGGTTCGGTTTTGAGCCAAAGAGGAGGAGGTTCTCTCTTGGAAATTTGAAAGGAGGGAGGGAAACAAAAGAGGCAACAGATTTGAATCAAGGAAGAAAGTAAAAGAGGGGGAAAACCAAAATAGAAAAAGACAAAACCCAAAAAAGAGGGGGGGGACCACGGTGAGCCAAAGACACCCCTAGGGGTGTCTCGGCAAAACCGAGACACCCCACCGATCCTCTTAGGAGCTCCGTTTCTTCACCAATCATTGCATACGTTGATGAGTTCTACAAGTCAACATTTGACGATTCGAAACTCTAAGGGTCAACGCCGGTCAACGCGTAACCCTAGGTCAACGCCAGTCAACGCGTTGCGACAAAAGTCAACGTTCGACAATCAAAACCCTAGGGTAGACGCCGGTCAACGCGTAACCCTAGGTCAACCCCAGTCAACGGGTTGCAACAAAAGTCAACGTTTGAGGATGAAAATCCACACCAATCAACGTTTGACGATTCAAAACCCTAGGGTGGACGCCGGTCAACGCGTAACCCTAGGTCAACGGACCCCTAAATTGTTTTCTGAACCCCAAATCACTCCGATTCTTCGCCAATGGTTGAATATTGATGAACTCCAAAAGTCAACCTTTGACGAATCAAAACCCTAGGGTAGACGCCGGTCAACGCGTAACCCTAGGTCAACCCCACTCAACGGGTTGTGAGCAAAGTCAACGTTTGACGATTCGAAACCCTAAGGGTCAACGCCGGTCAACGCGTAACCCTAGGTCAACGCCAGTCAACGCGTTGCGACAAAAGTCAACGTTCGAGGATGGAAATCCACACCAATCAACGTTTGACGAATCAAAACCCTAGGGTGGACGCCGGTCAACGCGTAACCCTAGGTCAACGCCAGTCAACGCGTTGCAACAAAAGTCAACGTTTGACGATTCGAAACCCTTCAACGTTTGACGATCCAAAACCCTAAGGGCGACGCCGGTCAACGCGTAACCCTAGGTCAACGCCAGTCAACGCGTTGCAACAAAAGTCAACGTTCGAGCCGGTCAACGCGTAACCCTAGGTCAACCCCAGTCAACGCGTTGCGCCAAAAGTCAACCTTTGACGAATCAAAACCCTAAGGGTCAACGTCGGTCAACGCGTAACCCTAGGTCAACACCAATCAACGTTTGACGAATCAAAACCCTGGTGGACGCCGGTCAACGCGTAGCCCTAGGTCAACGCCAGTCAACGCGTTGCGCCAAAAGTCAACGTTCGAGGATGAAAATCCACACCAATCAACGTTTGACGATCCAAAACCCTAAGGGCGACGCCGGTCAACGCGTAACCCTAGGTCAACCCCAGTCAACGGGTTGCACCAAAAGTCAACCTTTGACGAATCAAAACCCTAGGGTGGACGCCGGTCAACGCGTAACCCTAGGTCAACGCCAGTCAACGCGTTGCAACAAAAGTCAACATACGGTGATCCAAAACCCTAAGCAAAAGTCAACCTTTGACGAATCAAAACCCTAAGGGTCAACGCCGGTCAACGCGTAACCCTAGGTCAACGCCAGTCAACGCGTTGCAACAAAAGTCAACGTTCGAGAATGAAAATCCATAAGGGTCCACGCCGGTCAACGCGTAACCCTAGGTCAACGCCAGTCAACGCGTTGCAACAAAAGTCAACGTATGACAATTCAAAACCCTAAGGGTCCACGCCGGTCGACGCGTCACCCTAGGTCAACGCCAGTCAACGCGTGCGACAAAAGTCAACGTATGACAATTCAAAACCCTAAGGGTCCACGCCGGTCGACGCGTCACCCTAGGTCAACGCCAGTCAACGCGTGCGACAAAAGTCAACGTATGACAATTCAAAACCCTAAGGGTCCACGCCGGTCGACGCGTCACCCTAGGTCAACGCCAGTCAACGCGTGCGACAAAAGTCAACGTATGACAATTCAAAACCCTAAGGGTCCACGCCGGTCGACGCGTCACCCTAGGTCAACGCCAGTCAACGCGTGCGACAAAAGTCAACGTATGACAATTCAAAACCCTAAGGGTCCACGCCGGTCGACGCGTCACCCTAGGTCAACGCCAGTCAACGCGTGCGACAAAAGTCAACGTATGACAATTCAAAACCCTAAGGGTCCACGCCGGTCGACGCGTCACCCTAGGTCAACGCCAGTCAACGCGTGCGACAAAAGTCAACGTATGACAATTCAAAACCCTAAGGGTCCACGCCGGTCGACGCGTCACCCTAGGTCAACGCCAGTCAACGCGTGCGACAAAAGTCAACGTATGACAATTCAAAACCCTAAGGGTCCACGCCGGTCGACGCGTCACCCTAGGTCAACGCCAGTCAACGCGTGCGACAAAAGTCAACGTATGACAATTCAAAACCCTAAGGGTCCACGCCGGTCGACGCGTCACCCTAGGTCAACGCCAGTCAACGCGTGCGACAAAAGTCAACGTATGACAATTCAAAACCCTAAGGGTCCACGCCGGTCGACGCGTCACCCTAGGTCAACGCCAGTCAACGCGTGCGACAAAAGTCAACGTATGACAATTCAAAACCCTAAGGGTCCACGCCGGTCGACGCGTCACCCTAGGTCAACGCCAGTCAACGCGTGCGACAAAAGTCAACGTATGACAATTCAAAACCCTAAGGGTCCACGCCGGTCGACGCGTCACCCTAGGTCAACGCCAGTCAACGCGTGCGACAAAAGTCAACGTATGACAATTCAAAACCCTAAGGGTCCACGCCGGTCGACGCGTCACCCTAGGTCAACGCCAGTCAACGCGTGCGACAAAAGTCAACGTATGACAATTCAAAACCCTAAGGGTCCACGCCGGTCGACGCGTCACCCTAGGTCAACGCCAGTCAACGCGTGCGACAAAAGTCAACGTATGACAATTCAAAACCCTAAGGGTCCACGCCGGTCGACGCGTCACCCTAGGTCAACGCCAGTCAACGCGTGCGACAAAAGTCAACGTATGACAATTCAAAACCCTAAGGGTCCACGCCGGT